GAAATTGTTGTTAGCATTTGCATATGGCATTTTTTTATGTGTCAACAGATATTCAATACTGGATCAAATGCAAATTATGAGTCAGTATCTGCAGAGAGCACCCAGAGAGCAGGGAGAGGCAGCCTCTGGCCAAACTTGGATGTCACGCCTCCCCCACATTACAAATCAGCTGCTCAGTCAGATCCACACGCACTGATGTTTTTGCAAACACAACGAGCTTATTGTATAGGGCCCAACACGCCCTCCTTTCACATTAACTGTCATATTTTCGGTCTACAGGTGCTTGGGGGGCCGAAGGGACGTGAGAGGTTTTTGCCGTGCGTTATTTCAGCAACAGGAACACAGCCTGTAGCACAGCAGTAGCAGCCTGCCCGTCATGGACTCATTCATTATACCCACAACCTGGTGTTAACGCCGCTGAAGGCTCTTAACTCACCCCGAGTCTGCTCTGGACCCTCCGCAAATACTCTTCCATGTCGACCTGCGTCGCTACGACGCCGCTGCAGATCTCTCCACAGACCAAGTTTCGGCAATAAGGATGCGGATGTGTGTATGCGTGTGTGCGTTTTTCTCTCTCCGCTGCCGAGTCCCCCGCTGCGCTCGCACTGCAGCAGTCTCTGCTGCTGTGTGTGCTGTCGGTCCTCCCCTTCTCTAAGGGGTGAACCAAAGCACCGAGCAGTGGGTGTGACGGCAGGAAGAGGAGATCCGACGGAGGCGCGCTCGGTGATTCGACCGCGCTCCCTGCGGTAGGGCGACCCAACCCTCCCCCGTGTACACATAAACACACACTGTAGGCGACACACACACCTATCCCATCCCTTATACACAGTGTCACTGTCCACCAATGAAGAAACGTAGTGAGTGTACTGAGTGATTCATTGTAGCGCCCCTGCGCCACGCACAGCACCCTTTCATTGCCAGTGGCTTTAGGGTTCAGCACCTTCTTGTTTTTCTATCTGCCGCAATATGATCAAAACAGCAGCCAGAATCAACGTGCACGGCAATGTCTTTCTTGTACGCGCGCGCGCGTGTGTGTGTGTGAGAGAGAGAGATAGAGAAGGTACTTTAATTAATCTGAAAGATGGCCGTGTGACAGCCAGCGAAAACACCTGAAGGACCCCTTTCTCTCTCTCTCTCTCTCTCCCTCCCTCCCTCCCTCCCTCTCTCACACACGTTTGTTTTCATTTCTCATGGGGACTTTAAATTGACTCATTTCCTAATCTTACCCTAAACACCCTAGCTTTAAACCGACAATAGCCTACCCTAAAATTGAATGGTTTACATGGTCCCCAGGAGGAAGGCTGAGTCACCACAATGATGGCATCACAATTCTGTTTGTCTTTCTGGACAATTGTTGTTGGGCCCCTACTGGCCCCACACTAAACACTCACATTGTGTTTGTTTTGTATATGCTAATACTTCTGTCCTGAAGTAATGGTACCTGACCCTAGGAATGCAATGCAGCATTTAGTTTGTGTTAATCCGACAACTTTATTTACACAGGGTCCTAAACCAGACATTGTCACTAATGCAGTGCCTGCTGTTTTTAGCAGTGTAAGTTCTGGTTTTCACTGGTTTTCAGTTAAATAGGTGACACAAACCCACAGACAAGCTGTGACCCTGCCTTTGGTGCCCCTGGGGAGCCCCCAGGCAGATGCCCACTTGATCCAGTAGATAAAATAAAATTATGATTGAGCATACATACAGTACTAATAGTTGTGAAAAGAGTAACAGAAGTTGGATACTAATCATAAAATCAGTATAAATGATGGTTATTTTCTTAAAAGAGGTCCTACAATGACAAAATGCCAACTTTAAACACTGGCACACAGTCTCACATTCGACATACTGCCCAAAATAATGCATAATTGCATTTGTGTGTGCCCTTTACACAGTTGATGTCTATAGCTTTCAGTTGATTGCCCAGTTGTCGGAAGCCATCATGGCCTAACTGTTTTTACTGTTATAGGCAATGTGAGACTCTAAAAGATGTTGTGGTTTCCCATTTGTGATGAAGACAGTAATGCAAGCTGTGTTAGTGCACTGTCACTGCAGGGAGTCAAAAGGTCTTTCTAGGCTCAGACCATAATCAAGCTGGACATAATCAATGTGCCTTCCGGTCACTATCTTCAAAATAAAGCCCTCATTAATGATTTTTAAATACAGTTTATAGGGGACTATAGTACATTTCTCACATCAGGACTGACATTCTCTATGCTACTTGTTCAACCTCCACATCATGTTGTGCACATCATGTAAGTAATTTCTCACTGTTTTGAACAAATTGCCAGTGGACATTCGCGCTAATGATTATGCACAACTGTCTGCTGTTTCCTACATTATCAGTTGCTTATGTCATGTTGATGAAAATGTATTACACTGGATCTCTGTTGAATAGTCTGACCTCCCAAAACACCTAGTCAGGTTTCTCACTGCAGATATCATCACATGCAAAATGAGTAAACTAGCTGAGTTTATAATCTGTCAGGCATATTTCTATATAGCGGTATCACATGGTTGTTTGTTTGTTTTGCAAATGTGTCTGAATTGTTGAACTGGTCTCGGGCGAATCTTGACTTTCATGAAGGGGAATGTGTGAAGTGTTGAATCAACCAATGATCGACCAGTTCGTTACCGTAAAATAGCTCAGAGGTGCGTCTCATGAACCTTCAATTGGCAAACATATATAGACAGAGCACAGCACAGTGTTGCAATTTCTGACAAGGGAAGATCAAGAGAATGAACAGCGTCAACCTCTGGGAAGAAGAAGAGGAGTAGGGCTGTGTGGTGGAAGGGTAAGGAGACAAAGCAGAGTAAGGGGGTGAAGGGGCCAAGGACAGAGGCATGTTCCTGATGAAATACGGGGCACACTTGTGGACCACATTGTCAATCATGGCCTTACTAATGGCCAAGACTGGTCAAAGGCAGTCAAGTGTTGAGAGAACAACCGTTCTGTCTAGGAGGTGTTTCCTCTGTTTACATTTCTGATGTTTTGTTTTCCTTTTTGCTCTGCAAGGCTGTAAAACACAGTTTTCTGTATTGCACTGACAGTAAAAACAGCAGAAGTGTAAATGTGAATCCTGTCTAATCTTTTGCAATAAATCTTCCACATGCAGTAATGTGAAACTTTGTACCGTTGAATCTGATACATGCAGTATATAAAAAGTGCAGCCCTATGCGTTTTCAATCCTTGTCATCAAACCCTGAGCCACAGTTGACATCAGACAAGACATACACTGTTGTATTGACAATATGACTAAGCATTCTGACTGTTGTGTTCGTAAACAATGACGCAAGTACATTCTGCTGGCGCTGATATGTTCACATAAATATTTCATTTTAAGAAATAAACTAAGGATTTTGAGCAAATAAGGAGATTTTGCAGGTAATCCACTTTGTGGTGCTGTTTATATCAAGCACGACTCGAAAAATGTACCAAAACAACTGAGAAAAAGTGGAGGTTTTTAACACTTAGGTGCTCACCGCTGCTCTGTTCACATTCTATGACAGCATCTTTCAACTATACTAATATTGGTCATGATGGCTAATGTTGTTGGATACAGTCTAAGCACTTATCTTGCTAGTGGTGATAGTGACATACTGTTGTTTCTCTGTGTGCATGTGTGTGTGACTGCACTACATTATGAGGACCAATTTAAGTTTTATACCATGGCAGTGAGGATATTTTGGCTGGTGCTCATTTTCTCACACACCTTCAACTGTTTGAGCATTAAGGCTTAGGATTAAGGGTAAAATTAGGCTAGGTTTTGAGTTGTAGGGACAGGCATTTATTTATGGTGGTTAAGATTAGGATGAGGTCCCCTTGGAAAGATGGATATACAAACATGTGTGTGTGTGTGTGTGTGTAATTAGAGTAATGTTGACAAAAAAAGAGAAAGAAAGACACATAAGTATTAATCACAGTCCACAAGGTTATAAAGCTTGGTCAGGTCCTATCTGTAAAACTCATATCCATGGCATCAGAATATTTTTTCAACACGTGCCAAAATGACCAGCTTTCAAACAGCAGGATAAACTACTACCAAACAAAATTAGTTGTATTACTGTAACAGCTCTTTACATCCTTAAAGGATAAGGCCGATCATTTTCTATATTAATAGATTCTTTACACAGACTAAAACTGACAATGAATTGCCTCTACTCACGGTTAATGTCTGTCAGTCCTGGATCAGCTTGTTCGTCTGTGCGATAGATCTCTTCCTGCACCAGAAGGAACCAGGGCCCACTGCATCACAGTAAGGTCTGACCATCGCTCAGAGGATTTCATCATGGTACCTCACAGCAGCCAGGGTACCGCTGGCTATGACATAGAGGTCTGTGTGGCCCTACGAGGATAAGCCCCCCAGGGCCATCACTGACCCACCACCAAACCGGTCATGCTCCATGATATTACAGGCAACATAATGTTCACCACAGCAACTCTTTCATGCCTGTCACATGTGCTCACTGTGAACCTGCTCTCATCTGTGAAGAGAACGGGGTGCCAGTGGTGGACCTGCCAATTCTGGTGTTCTCTGGTGAATGCCAATCTAGCTGCACAATGCTGGGCTGTGAGCAGTAGAGGACAGTAGAGGATGTCGGGCTCTCATGCTGCCCTCATGGAGTCTGTTTCTGACAGTTTGATCAGAAACAAGCACACCAGTAGCTGCTGGGGGTCATTTTGGAAGGCTCTCGGAGGGATCCTGCTGCTCATTCTTGCACAGAGGAGCAGATACTAGTTCTGCCCTGTCCAGCTCTCCTGGTGTAACCACTGGCCTCCTGGTATCTCCTCTATGCTCTTGAGACTGTGCAGAGTTACCTGCTCAGATCTGTGGCCCTGAATCGTAGCTGGGGACCTCTGGTTCATGGCTAAACTGCTTTAGCCCTTAGAAGTCTTGGGCTTTTCTGGCAGGTAGAATAGAAGAGGGAGGCCAGCTCCATCTTTTTTAACAAGAACACTGCATGTGGGCTTTGATGCCCAGTGAACTGCATTACAATCGTATCTATACACTTAGAGCTGACTACTGCTGGTATTTTCTCCACTCGTGCTGCTGCCACAGATGATGGATTTGTTTCTTTATATTGTCAGTGCATTTAACGCATTTATTGCCATTGAGATGAAAAGAGAAATTCAAGATTTGTAACAAAAAAATGCTTCTGAAAAGAATCGCTAACCCTACCTTTAAGTAGAATTTTGAAGTATCTGTACTTTACTTGAGTATTTTTATTTCCTCCTAGTTCATACTTTGACTTCACTATACTGTATATCAAAGGCAAATATAATGTTAATATGTTTTACTCAACCACATGTATTTCAAAACTTTTGTTTGTGGTAACTTTTCTTAATCAAATTAATAATACAACATAATTGTAAGACTGTTGATTCCTGGTGAATTTTCACCAGGTTGTCAAGTCATTCAAAATATAAGCATACAAAGTAGTTAATATTAGCTCCACCTTTACCAGCTGCAACATTAAATGTGATGTACACAATATAGCATCAATAATACGATATACATTACATTAATATGATATGTCTATTCTGCATAATGAGTACTTTCACTTTTATTACTTCAAGTATATTTTGATGCTAATACTTTTTTCACATTCAATTAAATAACATTGTTATGCAGAACCTTTACTTTTAATGGAGTACTGTTACACAGTGGTATTGCTACTTTTACTAAAGTAAATAATCTGAGTACTTCTGCCATCACTGTATGGGTGTGGGAGACAGGTATGCAGTGTGAAAAAAGTTCTTTATGTTTGGGCAAAAGAGGGAAGAATTACAAAAGTCATTGTTGTTCTGGATGTTCGAGATCAGAGAATAATGCAAGACTGAACGCTTTACAAGCACTACACCACGTTTGCTGCTGTGATGAATACCTGAGTCGACTGCAACAGGCAGGCACACTGCAGCTTTGATCCATTAATGCTACAGCTTGCTCGTTCTTTTATGGGAAACCTGAAAGACCTGTCATATTTTGCCTCTAAGTAAGGCATATAGCGTTTGCACCACAGTCCTAACCCGGTTTAATTTTCCATTGAAAACAGGCCTCGCTAATTGATTTTAATAGCTCTCTCCGCAACAATGCTCCTCTTATGACTTGGAGAGAGGTCTTTAAGATTATTATTATTAGTATAATTGCCATTACCCCCACACTTTCCCTTTGCGAATGGGAGACTGAGAATGGATAGCTTTGCCCTTAAGCTGAACAAATAATTATTAGAGACAGGAAACAAACAGACGACCGTCACTCACACGTGCGCCTAGGCACACGCACACACGCAAACAACGTGCGCGTACACACAATGCACACAAACACTCCACCTCTGAGTAGACCCCCTCCTGGCGACCCTCATTCCCTCCGCCGCCCTCTTCGTGCAGTGTGCCGCTTGTAATTTATGCAAAATTAATTGATACATCTTTTATAATTGATGTGCTGTAAACTTAATGAGTAATTTATGTAATTAGTCAATTAAGGATAATTCCAGCATATGTTCCGTATGCCCAGAAGGTGTGCTTTACAACTAGTTATTTGTCCAGGAGTTGGGTGCAGATGAAGGCTGCCGTAGACTACCTAATTAATTTTGTTATGCAGATCAGCCACGGTGTCTATTTAACGGCCCCCTTTGTGAAAACAGATTTAATATTGATCTTTCCAGGCCGTTTAAAGAGGATGCTTTTACCCGCATTGGCCTCTTAGGGCCTTGGAGTTTCAGAACTCATTTTTCAGCCTTCAGAAAAACTATTATAAAAGATTTTAGAAATACAGGCACGACTGCCTTTATTTAGCGGGGAATACATAAATGTTCACTCTTTGTCAAATGAAGTGATTTTCCTTGCAATGGTGTTTTTAAAATATGCTCTCCGTTGACATAGTTGACCTTTTGAGTGGGCTTGATGGACTAAGACATAACAGGAGAAATTCACCCTAATTAATTGACACGGTTTTGAATATTCATTCTCAATACAGCAAGCTTGCCCTTAATTACATTGCTGGACTTCTCTCATAGGAGGATAAATCACGGAAGGCTTAATTACTGTAATGTATTCAGGGGCCCACGGGGCACTGGGGAAGACAGGAGCCGTCAAGGACCCAGTCATGACACCTGGCCAGAGGAAAAAAAAATGTACGGGAAGGAAAGCAGCTTTTGTTGTTCTCCAGCGAACAGAATTCAGAGCAGAGGATCAAGTTTGTTTACATCCTTGTAGGATTCACCGGAGAGTGTTTGAACAGACAGACAGCCGCCGGACTCCCCTCTCAGCAATTAATCAACAACAGTGTCTTTCTCTCTCTTTCTCTGTATGTAGGTGTGTGTGTGTGTGTGTGTGTGTGTGTGTGTGTGTGTGTGTGGGTGGGTGGGTGTGTTTCTGAGCAGAAGAGTAGCGCACTGATGATTGTGCGCAAAGGAAGACATGATTTATTGTTTGCAAAGTCTGAAAGTGCAGTTGAGCAAGTTTAACAAAGAGGTTGTATTTATATATTCTATTCTTGACTATTTATTTCCTCAGGTCAGATCAGCTTTCTAATCCACCTTCTCTCTCCACATTAACGAATACACCCAAGGCATATGAACATATTTACAGAATATCCTGGTTTTTACAAATAAGTTATGTTTTACGAAATGTTTATGACACAGGAATTTGTACATGCCATTCAAACTTTTTGAAGGGAGAGGTCAAAGGTCAGAGTCAGCTTTACAGAGGAACAGTAAGGAGCTGTTGGAGATTTGGCAACCTCCTAAAACACATTTATAAGAATCAACCGTTAATATACAGTTTATTGGTGAAAATGTGGCACTTGATCCGGTTCTGTTCTGTCCCCACATACTTTACGCAGGGCTCTTTGATTGGTAAACAGGAGATTAGAAGCGAACGCGTGTGGATCGCACCACCCACACCTCATTTTTATTCATTTCTTTACCCCCTCAATCTCTCTTTCTCTCCCTCTCTCTCATGCACACGCACACACACACACTCTCTCCTACACACACACACAGCCCTCTGCTCTCCCCTGACGTGTCCCCTAAGTGTCTGAATAATAAATAATAGAGTCGGCGACCTGCGGGGGTCTTACAAGAACGGCGCTCTGCAAGTGGGAGCATCGCATAAGAGCAGAGGAGTACGCACCACACACAGACAGCGAAGCAAACCGGCCCCTCACATCCTTCAACCGCCGCGGAAACAGGGGGAACTCAAGGAACATCTCAACTTTTACGCACGGAGACGGACTTTTATGCACAACGCAAGAGTATAATTTGAGGAAGAAACGGACCAAAGTCTTCAGAAGAAACTTTCTTTGGATGCAGGGGCCGCTCAAGGATCTTACCTGGCAGCAGCAGGCCTTTAGGCAATACTAAATTAACTGATATAACGCAGAAATCTGAACTTGTAGGAAATTCTACCAGCTTCTCCTCTGATAGCTCAAAACTTTGGAACAGATCCGGATGGATACGGATACGAAGATCGTCAAGTTAGTCCCGTAATCAATAGAATTTAAGATATAACTTTAAAGACTGTTTTGTCTAACAATTACAACTTCAAGAAAAGAGTATCCAGCCATGCCCCGTCCTGGAAAGAACTCTTACAGCGACCAGAAGCCCCCATACTCCTACATATCACTGACAGCGATGGCTATCCAGAACTCAGCCGACAAGATGCTGCCTCTGAGTGACATTTATAAGTTCATCATGGACCGGTTTCCGTATTATCGAGAGAACACCCAGAGGTGGCAGAACTCCCTACGACACAACCTCTCGTTTAATGACTGCTTTATCAAGATCCCCCGGCGACCTGACCAGCCAGGAAAAGGCAGCTTCTGGGCTCTGCACCCGGACTGCGGCGACATGTTTGAGAACGGCAGCTTCCTCAGGAGACGGAAGCGCTTCAAGGTGCTGCGCGCCGAGCATATGGCATGTAAGAGCTCCCCGATGATGCATTACTTTCACCACCACCACCATCACCCGGGCAGTAAGCTGAGCTCAGCATCCGGCCACCACGACCACTCCGCCGGCCCGGCAAGCGCCGTGGGTCGACTCCCTCACTTTCAGGGTTATGGGGGCATTACTTGTGCACAGCCCGGCGGGTTCAAACACCCATTCGCCATCGAGAACATTATAGGACGGGACTACAAGGGTGTGATGGCCAGCGGGCTCCCCCTGACTTCGGTCATGCACCACCTGGGTTACCCGGTGCCCCCGCAACTTAGCAGCGTGGTCAACTCCATGTGGCCACACGTCGGAATGCTGTCGGAGTCAGTGGGTGGCGTGCCCATGCCTGCATCATCTGAATACGCGCCCTTCAGCGTGTCAGCAAAGGGCCTGTACCACAATGCCAACGGGCAAACTCTGCCTGCGGTTCCTGTGCCAATAAAACCCACCCCATCCCTGGGTCCTGTTCCCGGGTTGACGGGGCTGCAGTCCGGTCCAACTCAGCTCTGCTCACCGGCCTCCGTGATGGAGAAAAGCGACCTGCTAGAGGGGAAAGGTAACCCTCTACATCCGGCTCTTCTGCTGTCCTAATCGGGTAAATCGCGGGACATTTTTGAAAATTACGCATACAAGAAGGACACTATTATTGTTTAAAATAAGACAGAATAAGCCTATCAGAGACATCATATATTTCAAGTTAAGTGCAGCTGTTGGAGCGTTGTAAAAACCAAGGTTAACATTGTTCTGTGTAATGAATTTTTCATTAGTCTCATGTTGATTGAAATCATAATTTATTTGCACAATTTGTGAGGGCATTTACCACATACTGTAATGTGGCAATGATAAATACAATCAGACAAGTAGATACGCTAAACCCAAAGAGAGCTTTGATTTAGGAGACAAACGGTCTGAAATTCATTCCAGATGTAAACCAACAACTCTGTCTTTATATTTTTTGCTCTTGCTCTATTTATTTTTATTTTAATGTATGCCTTTCGGCTAAAGACAAATAGGCCTTCATGCTTTTTAATTGGGCCTGTTGCACTTTGTTGCGTTACTTTGTTCATTAAAATGTTATGCTTGTATAAGACTATTTATCTGAAGATATTTATAAAGAACTTAAAACCGGCTATTCTTTGTGTTGTAGTTGTTTAATCAAAAATCTATATACTTTTCGGGACTCTCTGTTTGCACATCACAACTGAACAGAAAAAAACTGCGGTGAGATCATTTTAATCAAGCGATTCCAAGTGTGTTCTGACTTTTACGATATCAGATTATTATTTTAGCGTGTGTAATAATTATTTATTTACACAGAGTTTTTAAATATTGTACCTATGTCACAATCTACAGCCTGAAATAATACTTTCCACCAGTTGCAGTGAAATCCATGTGACTAAGTTTATTAGTCATAATTAATTTAAACTACATTTTACTTATGAATAGCAGACATTGTATAATATGGTAAAAGTGGAATGTATTCATTAGACAATTTTAGTGAATCCCTGCTGACAAGAAAGTCATGGAGCTTTAGGACTCTCCTCACAAACAGGTAACTCTGATCACAGTGGAAGTGTATACTGAAGCAGGAAGACTGTGTAAATGTTACGCTTTCAACATGACAAGTGGATTTTCCAAATTCAAGAGGTACACATAACAATAGAATTTAAAACAATGTTTACCAGAGTTAAACTTTACTTAGAGAGATGTTTAGATTGAAGTCATCAGCTCCCACAAATCATCAATGTGCACACATTTACTGTATGCAAATGTTGCTGTCATTACATGAACCACATCTGGAATGGGTATATGCTGATGTTCCTGTGTCCAGGAGGGAGGGGTGTGTGTGATCTTCATAAGATGGATATGCACAGCAGACATTCTGGGCTTCAGCTTCACAACTTCAAAAGAGGGGAGGGGGGGTCGGATCAAGTTTTGCTCTTTTGTTTGTGCTGTTTAACCACAGCTTTGAAGATTCCCCTCTCCAGAAGCACAAAGCGCCACATCCAGCCCACTGAAAATGACTTATATTCAACCTCCTGTCCCCTGTTTAGCATCCCAAAGGCTCCCACAGCCGACACTATTGTCACATCAGTCTCTGAACAAATAATTGAGATGCACCAGCAGAGGAGAGGCGTGGGAGTGAAGAATTAAAACCTATTTGGGTGTCATTGCTAACGAGCACAATACATAGTGACTGCCCTTATTTTCGTGCTTCCTCCTTTAATCTCTTTTCTTTTAGTCTGTTTGCTATGTTTATAATCATTTTTAGCTGGTGGTTCTCTCAGGTTTTTCTCTGAATTTCCAGAGGTCACGCCCTCTTACTTTTTAGACATTTTCACGCACTCTCTCTGCAGGCTGCCTGTAATTCCTAGTTAAAGAGAGCTGAAATTTTTATGGCACATCAGAAGTGTCTGTATGAAAAGTATGCGACTGTGTCTGTAGTTGTGTGTGTATGTGTAGTTTTAATTCCCTGATCAGCAGGTCTTGATGTCTTTAATAGCCCTGACTACATTAGTGTATAATTAAATGCCACTAATTAAGGCACAATAAGAGGAGTAATAATGCAGCTATTATTGCCCTCCATGATCCTCTGTCTTCACAACACTAGAGTTCGATGCCTGTGGAATCCTAATATTACATGAGGTTTTTAATGTGCACACATGTTCATGCACAGGGCAATAGGAGGTATATGTGTCGTAAATTTTTATAATGGGAGACGATGTGGTGGTTGTGTCAAAGCATTTAAAAATACATCTATAAGTCTTAGATCCTTATACATATGCATATATATATACATATATATACACAAACAGATAGATAGATAGTCTTGCAAGTGGTTGTGCGATATGAAAGTTTTGTTTTATATTTTGCTAAGAGGCATAAACTTGGTGTCACTGTGTTTTTACAGAACACTTGTACTGAATGTAAATCACTAAACAAACAACTGCACTTTCAAGTTATCATGCGAGATTATTAATTAATTCTTTCAAAATCTCCTTACGTTCCTTAGACCAGAGGTTACGTTTTTCTTTTCGTTGTTAGTTAAAAAAGTAACTTGGATGCAATGCATCACATGGGTGCATCAGACCATTGTCCTATGGTTTGATGATGCTTGTAGTAATAAGATCTGAAATACATTTAAAATTACAAGTACAGAAAACTGCAATTATTCTGTGTTCACTGCTATACAGCAATTACACTGTCTGTTGTCTATGCACTCAACTAAGTTCTTTATAAAATAATGATTTGTTTTAATGTAAAATACACAACTAGAAAATGGGACAACAGAATCCATTTTTTATCAAAACATATGCTGGTGACTCTTCATCTTATATGTGAAACCTGCCAATATAATAAGCAAAGCCTGGTTGTTGTTGTTTTTTTTTTAAGATTTGTAACATTAATGCAAGACCTTATATAAGACCTTATATTATTATATAATGTTACACAACATTGCCTGAAGACTGAATCAGAAGTAAAGGCAATTTAAAATTTGTTCCATAACTACTTATATTTGGTCAAAAAATACAATATACAAAAACTACTAAATAATACTGAAAACATTAATAGTGTATGACAAGGACAAAGTTCAATAGTGTGTACACCAGCATCTAAAATTAGTTTTGCGTCAAAATATAGTCTGTTTCTGCAGTACGTTGGTTTTGTGACACCTGCTCATGTGTCCGCTTGGCTGACGGTGATATGATGTTATTTCATTTGAATAACACAAATATAATATTACACCATATGAAAATCTGGTAGCACTGATAAAAGCGCACAGGGCGTTCATGTGAGAGAACTCTGTCTTCATGGAAAAACTGTTAATCATGTGAAATATGACCTTAACATGAATAGTAGGACTCTTATGAATGAATAAAACATTTAGGTCAGAGGTGTTTTATTGTCAGCCCTCAGAAACAAGATGTTACAGTCTTGAATATATGATGATACATTAGTGGTAATTATCCACACTTTATAAGGGCCAGGGTGACAAATTCTACATGCGTTTTTCTTAATGACCAGCAAGAGCAGACCATCATAATGAGCAGCTTAATTCATTGATCTGATCTGATCTGCCGTTTGCACACTGCCATGCTTACACATTCACACACATATACGGACACAAACAACCTTAAATATTGTCCTTTGTTTCAGACAGCAGCCTTTGGTTCAGTCTACTGGCAACATCAGATAGCAGAAATTTGTTCAAATTTATTTAAGGATTCCTTGTTTAGTCACAGCTTGAATAATAATTAAAGATGTAAGTGAAGCCATCTTGATAATAAATGGAGGCATAAGACTACATTACAGCAACTGTTAACGGTGTTCAACAAATATAAGTGAGAACAAAATGAACTTAACACAGCTCTCATAATTAAAAGTTAAAATGCATTAAATTGTTGCATAATTTGCTAAATCAGAATACAACAAATGGTCCCTTTCGAATACAGTGAGAGGAGCGCATTAGAAAAACTCTCACTACTGGAAGCTCAGGCTTCCTCGCTTTTCTAACCACAACCACGAGAAACAAAAACGAACGGCGCAGAAAAGAAACAGTGAAAGAAAATAACTTAATAACATAAGAGTGTGACAAAGAAAAAGAACACACGGAAGAAATAATGAAGGAAAAGAAGGACTACATGAGACAGAGACATACAGCTACACAAGGTCGTACAGTAAACTGTATACACTTACTGAAAGCGTAATATTCTTAAGAGTTTTTATGTGTCCCAGATTTATCACAGTTTACAGGATCATTGCTGACATCCTAATGAAGTCTGAGGATATCAGTACATGAGGACCTTGAAACAGACAAACCAACATAAACATATGACATCGTGTTGAAATTCCTCTCAGAGAAGTGAATCACTATTTTGTTTTAATCAGGAAACACAACATGAGAACAACAGAAGTTTGTTTTTCTTTTCTGTCTTTATTTAAAATACATGTATTACAGCTATTGAAAAGTATAAACACTATTTTTAATAAGATGTATCCAAATGCAATAAGCTAAAGAACACCCATTGTGTCTGTTTTTTTTTTTTTTTTGTTCTTAAAAACAAATCTACACTACACATACTTAAATTAATGACACTGCTGGACATGTGCATTCACATGTTTAAAGTTTGTTTACACTTATGTGTTTCATATCATAAGTCTAAGTTAATCCATATTGTTTGTTTGTTTGTTTGTTTATATGGGACAATGCACATTAATCAACACTGATGTTACCAATATCATTTAAATGCGCCAGGGTTAGCTCAACAGCTGCAGCCATAGTCCTGACCTTGTTAAAAATGACCAACTAAAAATAATGCACATATAACAATACAATTAAAAAATGAAACATTTTAAACAAGTTAGTCCATTAAGATCTCTCTGAGTACATATCTGACTAAATTTTCACAGTGTTTTAAGTTTAGTTTTATGATATGTGGCTACTTAATTCCATCAGTACAGTGTTCCAGTGTGTCTTAAAGGAACAATACAGTATTCTCTGGAAACTCTCATTTTACTTGTACTATCTCCAAGTTTACCAACGAGGCTGCAAGGAGCAGTTGGGGATTTAGCGCTTTGCTCAAGAGCACCTCAGGGTGGAAACAAGGGAATAGAAACTGCTGCTTTTTTAATCAGATTTATCTTGCGGGTCCAGTGGCAAGCTATATGCACAAACACTATATGTCCATTAAAGTACATTTTGTGTTTGTCCGTTCACTGTAATGCCTGCCTGCTGCATTTGTCGTACATGTGATAACTTATTTTAACAGTACATGTGATTCACTGCAAGCAGGCAGCTGACATACGGCTACATCTGCTCTTAGCTTGGTAATAGTCGCTGCACCATATTTGCTGCTGTGGGCTTTACTGGTGGGACAATGGACAGTCATCTGGCACATGTTGACGGGAGTCAGCATCATCCAATGAAAAGACCATCTGAAGGGGATTAGTATATTGGCATCAGGCCTGATGAGGTACAGAAGCTGTCAGGGGAGAGAGTCCTAACGACAGGTCACCCCGAACCACTGCACATTACTATTACTCTTCTTTTCTCTGTAATGCACCGCATTCTGTTT